ATTTATATTCCATGCTATATAGTCTATAGAAACTAATAATGGATTAGTGGAGCTTGTAATGTACAGACATACTCCTGCTGCTGATAGGAAAAGAAGGCGTGAGAAGGGAAGGCATACTCTCACAGACTTGCTGGAAAGAGGATTTGTTCCTTGCATATAAAAACACTGAAGAGAATTCAAAATTTAACTTTCTGAATATTGAATATATTTTTGTGCGTGCTGAAAATTTCCTTTCCTTAACAGAAAAAAACCAAGTTCTGAAGGTTGTTTCAATGCGTCACAGCTGCCCTCTGCCTGCTATGCAGCTGAATAGTTTCTCCACAGCCCCGCTACTTTCCACCTCTTAAGAGCACCAGCAGGGTTGGGCAAGATGAGATTTTTTTTTTTTTTTTTTGGCAGAGGATGGTGAAGGATAAAGTTTGTTCATAGAATCTGTGAATTTTCTATGCTCTGGTGGGCTTAGTATGGGAAACCCTTGAAATCAGTCGAATTGTCGGGTAAGCATCCTTTCTGTCTCGGCTAAAGCCTTCACGTCCCTCCCCAGGAGTGCCAATGTGCTTTTGTGTCAGGCAGTCTCCCCATACCTTGTGGAAAAGCCTGTTTGTTCACTCGACAGGAGCGGCAGAGGATTCTAACAAACAATGACTCTCGCGGTTCCAAAACCAAACTCACAGTAGCCTCTAAGGGTCTGTTCTATAAACACACAGTGGGAATTTTTATTTTTAAATTTTACTCTATTGTTATCCCAACTAACAAAGATTCTTCTATTCCAAGTGTCACTATTTAACAGTTATACTATGGTATAAAGGGTAATATTTTCCACAAGTTGTGCATTTCCCTCCGCATCTTGCTTTTCTCCTCCATCCCGTAAGAATTAATTGTTGCCTGATCATATTTAGTGGGCATTAATGAATATTTTGCCAAAACAATATAAAGTATTCTTTTCTTTCTACATTTTGTGATCAATGAATGAATGTTTTTAAAAAAATTGCTTTTGGCCAATGCGTCTTCAACAGCTTTTAGCTGTAGAAGTGTATTTGCTTCTGGTTTCTCCATGGGTTACGAGACCTACCCTCCACAAGCTCCTCTTCTGCGAGGGAGGGGTGAGCAAGGGAGATGAAGCGAAACGTAGCTCCTGCAAGCATGTGGGTACGCTCTGTGCGACAGCCAGGTCTGATGGGCTGGCTCTGGGACAAGGTCAGCCCTCAACAGCTCCTCTTCCATGGCCTTGGCCAGCCCTAACTTTTGGTGGACAAGAAGGGCTTTGTTTTTCCCATGCGGTTTCTGTAGCCGGGCTCGTGAACTGAGTTGTGCCTGTCAGCTGAGTGACTGAACACCCTGCCCAGCCCCAAAACAGCTCTAAAGTGATGAATAAACCATCGGGGTGCTGGA